GAGCCCTACAGTCCTATAGCCCGGTTGCACTATAGGCCCATAGCCCTATGATTAGCCCTATAGACCTATAGCCCTATAGCCCTATGGTTCCATAGCCCTATAGCCCCATAGCCTCATCGCCCTATAGCCCAAGAGCCCTAAAAGGACTTTGACTGGGTTTTTTCTCCGGTCTCATTTTGAGCATGTGTTGGGAATGTTTCTTTTGTTCGTCCAGAATCCGCCTGTAGGAGGACGTGCCTGAACTAAGGGTAGGGGGAGGGGGAAGGCGTCTTAGAAGCACCCCTGCTTCTTAGAAGCGGCGGGCCTTGTCTGTAGATGTCAGGCCCGCGCTTTCTGAGAAGTAGCCTCCTAAGACGCATTCCCCCCTCCCCCCACCCCCGTGTGCGCGCCGCCATCGGGGGCGACCCGATGGCAGTCAAAAAGGTGTACCGGAGGCTGTCACGGGTCGTCGAGGGCGGGCCGGAGGTCTCCTGAAGGGCGAAGTTAGAGGCGCTTTGGGGCAACCTTGCGGCCATGTTGCGGTCATCTGGGGTCTCAGGAGAAGGTCATGGGAGGAGTTGGTGTCGGCGGAGCGCGCGACCCCCATCCCCGTGCTTCATCCTAAAGCTTGCTGCCTACTAGCCTAGCCGAGGGAGGTCTTGAATCTTGACGCCCACCCCCAAGCTCCTGCCTGGCAGGGTACTCTGCGCGTCCCCCCGTTCGCCCTGTACTTGTCCTTGTCCTCCTCCTCCTCCTCCTCCTCCTCCTCCTCCTCCTCCTCGTCCCCCTCCCCTTCCTCCTCTTCGTTCTTTCTCCTCCTCTTATCGCAGTCCTCCTCTTGTTCCTCCTCGTATTGATCCTCTTCTCCCCCCTCCTCTCCCCCCCCGGGATTACTCAGACGCTTCGCGTTTACCGCTCGCCCATTCCAGTTCTCGATGGAAGAGAAGAAGACGGGGCAAAGACAGGATGACGACATTCAGAAAATGGTGCAAGATTCCCCCACGTGTGTGTGTTGTTACTTTTGCCTGCGCTCCATTTCTCTTCCATCCCATCGCCGATTGGGCTCAGGCACATCGCGTGGCGCATCGATATTAAATCTGCCGATAGAGCGTCGGCCCGTCAGCACTACACACGGATTAGTGATATGGACGCTGGCTCTCTGGACCTCTCCTCTCTTGCCGCAGCAGGAAGCCAGAGATAGCCAACACGCTGCCAGAGAGACCAGCTGAAGACGGCCAGAAGCGTCCGAACCCCGAGAAGGGCTCGAAAGTGGGCCAAGAAGGGCCTGTGGCGGCCCAAGCGGGCTTTTGGACGGCCGATAAACGACAGCACCTCTGCGTCGGGCCGCAGCCCCGTCAGACTGCCATCCGAGCCAGGCTTCGTGTTGGACTTCGTGTTGGGCCGCTTGGGGTTTCCAAGCCCGCCGGGATCTTGGCCGTTTGGGGCTCCGCCTTGGGGCCCAAGTTGGGTCCAGCATCGTCCAATGTTGAGAAAGACGGCGTTGGAGAGTGCATGCTGAGAAGTACCGGGCGAGCCCGAAAGTCAGCTACGAGAAGCGTCCGGGCGACCCCCAGCGATGCGAAATTCCTATGGTCAACTTCTGATTTTTATTGTGTTTTGCAATATGTTGGAAGTTTCGAGTTTGTAAGCGAAGTTGGGCCCAAGAGGCGTTGTAGAGGGCCTCGGGAAGTCATTGTGTGAGCGAAGAAGGGGCCCCAGAGGCGCCCCGAGAAGGTATTCGGGGCGATATGAAGTGAGATGTTGTCCTCCTCCTCAGCCTCCTCCTCCCTCCTCCTCCTCCTCCTCCTCCTCCTCCTCCTCCTCCTCCTCCTCCTCCTCCTCCTCCCCCTCCTTTCTCCTGGGCGCCCCGTCTGGAAGCCGTCTTGGAGCTCGAAAAATCCAGCAGCGGCAAAGCGTCCTGGTTTGCCAACAGGCCTCACAAAAACTAAGGGCATGTGGTGGTCTGCACGGGATGTTCTTTGACCATGTCTGTGCGAGACCGTCTTGTGTTCACACATCCGGCTCATGCTCTAAGAACATTGTTCTTGCTATTAGAACATTGTTGGATTCTAAGAACACTTCGTGGAAGGCCTATAGGCATGCTGGGACCGTCGGTCCCTGCACAGCAACAAAAGGTCGATGGCGCACCCGGGCGGCGGAATGGCAGAGGCCTCTGGGGGGTGCGAAAGGGAGGGGGGCTAAAGCTTTGTAGGGAGCTCTCACACAGTTCTTGAGCCCAAGAGGCGTTCTTGAGGGTCCCAGGAGTTTGTTTTAGAAGCCAAGAGCGGCTCCCGACGGGGTCAAAATCGAACCGAAATGCGGCCGAAAACCGCAATGGAAGCGGACTGAACATCGAACTCGTCTTGGACGCCGTTTGGAAGCCCTCTTGGGGCCCGAAAAGGGGACTGAGTGCAGCCGGGCGACGGAATTGCGGAGGCCTTCGGGGGGGGATTGGGCGGGGGGCTAAAGGTCTGGAAGGAGCCCTCGTAGTTAAGTCTCACACGCCCCTCAGCCCGGTGGG